CCTAAATACACGAGGTTACAAGGTTCACCTTTCTGTTTATGGGCTCAGTGGGGACCCCACTGGCCTCTTCAGGCTCTCCACCCCTCCTTAGTGATGGTGCCTTGTCCATAGTAGGGAGGGCTCTACTAAGCCTCCTGGTGCATAGTAAGTGTGGAAGGCCCTAATAGCAGCATGTCCACTCAGAATGCAGCAGTGTACCCAGGTTCCCATTACCAGCAAGTCTTCTGGACCCTGGACTCAGTCTACTCCCAGTCTTCATGCTGGGCTGAGCCAAGAGCCCCCTATAGCTGTCAAGACCCAAGTCTCCTTCAAGGACACTATAGAACAAGCTACCCGAACTCATCTCAGGGCCCACATCCCTGGCTACCTGGCATGGCAGGCCTGCACAGCTGTATCCTTCAGACTGACAGGTCTGGAATGCTAGGACATTAATGTCCATTTCAAAACTACCAAATCCAGGTGGAGATGGTTTAGCAGTTAAGAGCGCTGGCTGCTTTTGCAGAGAACCCAGGTTTGACTCCCAGCACCCACATGGTGGCTGACAACCATCCATAACTCCAGTTCCAGGGGATCCAATACCCTTCTGACCTCTGAGGGCATTTCATAACACGAATGCACTTTCACATATGCAGGCAATACAGTCACATACATAAAATAAAAATAATAAAAAAAAATTTTTTTTTTTTCGTCTTTTTGAGACAGGGTCTCCCTGTAGCCCCAACTGACCTGGAACTCGCTATGTAGACCAGGCTGGCCTCGAACTCACAAAGATCTGCCTGCCTCTGCCTCCTGAGTGCTGGGATTAAAGGCATGCGCCACCACCTGGCAATAAAATATTTTTTTAAAAAACCACACTACCAAATCCACAGAAAATCCTGAGTCTCCAGTTGCTTAGAAACATAACAGGTCAGTTTCTGAGGACACCACAGCAGTGGCTTTCCAAGACAGCCTTAGAACATAGCTCATAGGAGCTAGCCACCAGGGGTCCTAATGATTCTGACCTCTTCATATAAATGTAGGTCAAGGCTAGTTTTGTTTTTGTTTTAAATTGTGTGTGCATATATTCTTTTGTGAGTACAGATACCACATGCCCCTGTGGAGGTTGGAAGATAACTCTCAGGAGTTAGTTCTCTTCTGCCACCTTGTGGGATCTGGGAATCAAACTCAGGCCAAGTATAAGTACCTCTGAACTATCTCTCTGGGCTAAGACCAGGTTTTGCAAGCACCTGTAGGTTCGAGTAGAACCCAGACAGATTCCTTAGCAAGTTTCCACAGGATCTTATAGTTCCAGGTCCTCGAAACCCAGCTGGCTATAGCAGCCTCAGTGCCCTAGCCTGCTCACTGTTAGTTATGTCTTCCCCAACTAAGGAGCATCCAAGGGCTACCACCAACACAAGGGCCCAGAGGGGCAAGAGGCCTAAGGCTGAAGATCCTCAAGGCCCACCTTACTCCCTAAGGCCCACTCTGCCTTCCAGCCCTGGATTCTAGCACCTTTAGAATGCTAATGGGGGACTTTACCTGGGTACCACAGCACTTCCTCTGTGGGGATCATGGCCAGGACAGCACTTCCCTAGACCCACAGGGCAGAACAGAACTCCCAGGCTGCCTCTGTCTAGCACAAGTCTGGATATGTAAAAACACTTGTTACTTAAATCATAAACACCAATACTTTTCTGAAAAATAATGGCATGGCACTTTTTATTTTCTTAAATCAGAAAAATAAGCCCCAAATTCTGGGGTCAGAGGTTGTAGGTGAGCACCAGAAAGGGGCCTGCCCAGTGTTGTCAGGGCTCAGAGCTGCCCTGGCCAAGGGGAACAGGTGTGGAGATTGGGGCCTAGGACAAACCCCACTGGTGGCCACCCCACAAGCAAGTGGGGAAAGGTGGTTAGGGATCAGCAGGTGGCTTTGGCACGCAACCAGGGTATCCCTCAGTTCTTCTCCCTGTGATGAGTTGTCAACAGAGGTGGCCTACCACCCAGGTAAAGCGCCAAGAAGGTGAGTGGCTTGGAGCCTCAGGCCTACTCAGTCCAGAGAGCCCCAGGGAGCCAGTACAACACAGTGGCTCCAAGCACAGGGTCCTCCATGCTCAGGACAACTCCTCTTCAGAGGATCCATCTGGCCACTGGGACTCCAGGAGACCTGAGTGTGGGGCTGCCCTGAGACTAAGGTCTAGAGCAAAGATGGATGAGCCTTGACTACAAGTGGGGTGGCTGTGGGACAGGTGCAGACCCAGAGATGGCTCTTTAGTGTAAGGTGCCTGAATGGGAGACAGCAGGGCTGAATACTGTTGTGATAAGGATGGAGAATAGCTTGAAGAGGGGCTTCCAGCTGTTCTATCATTGCCTCTGGGGTGGAGGAAGGGTCACCACCCTTGTGTACCATGCAGTATAGCTGGAGGGCCTTCAGGTTTAAGTCAGAATCATTCCATAGCCAGAGGGACTGTGACCTGAAACCCTGCCAGCTAAACCCATACTTTGACCCCAAGTCACCTAAGTCATTCTGCATTCTTCTCAGGGCAGGGAATATTTGGGTGGGGGGGGGAGTCTCTGGGCTGACACCCCACCACACAGCCATACATGCACACACCATTCACGCTTGGACACATGCATAGAGACTCAGAGATACAAAGAGAGTGTTGGCAATTTAGAGGCACCAAAGGATGCTGAGAGACCCCAGCAGGTTCCAGGTCCTTAGGATGGCTGTGTGCCCTCTCCCCGGAGTTGTCCATCACAAAGCAGCACATATGAAGGGTACTGTTAACACCAAGAGGCCTGACACTCATGGGGGTAAGGGACAGTAGGGTGATGGAAAGCCGCTGAGTTCATGTCTCCTTTTGATGTGATGGGATGAGGCCGGATCTTGGCACAGCAAAGGCCTCAGTTCACAATGGCAATCAGCCAGATCACCTGGAGAAAGCCTCAAGCCAGTCTGGGAAGGGTGAGAGTTCCCATTAGTGCAGCCCACTCAAGAGCAGCATGACAAATTTATACAGAGAGGTACCTGCAAGCCTCAAGCTCCAGGACTCACAGATGGGGCTTGGCGGGCCACCCCAGGGGCAGAGTATCGAGTCCACCGTGACCTCAGGGGCCTAGAGAGATTGCCCAGGAGTGAAGGCCGGGTCTGACGGGCTGGCACCAGATCCAGCAGGGACTGCCGCCTTGGCTGACACAGGGGCCTCAAAAGAGGCTGGCGAGGCAGACTTGGCTGCCCCAGAAGTGGAGGGCGATCAGGGAGGGGAAGTAATGGCTGGGGTTTGGGAGGCTGACCTGGACCCAGAAGTGACTGCAGGGGCTTCTTTGGGCCCATGAGGGGCTGACTAGGTGGGTGGGGCTGCTCTGGGCCCAGAAGTGGACACTTCTGTTGTGACTGTCTGGGGCTCAAAAGGGAAGGCTTGGGAGGGCCAGTTTGCTCTGGTCCTTCAACTAATTGCTGGGGTTGCCTGTGGCCCAGCAGTGACCGCCGCCGAGGGCGGCTAGGCTGGCCCAGGAGAGATCTACGGGGGGGCTGGTTGTGCTGTCGTGGGACTAAGAGTGCCCGCCGGGGGCGGCAGCACTGGCCTGAGAGGCAGCTGGTGGACCGGCGGCGTGGTTGCAGGGTAAGGAGTGTCCGTGGGGGTTGGCACTGCTGGCGCTGGGCTAGCAGAGACCGTGGGGGCTGGCGGCGCTGTCCTGAAGCAGCCCTACAGGGCTGGTCACAGGGACACAGTGTGGTCCATGACCGCAAAGGTCGGCAGCAGTGCCACAAGGTCAGTAGGGACCGGCAGAGGTGACAAGGGGTGAGCAAAGACCGCAGGGGCCTGCAGAGGTGATATGGGGTTAACAGGGACCGAAGTGGGCGGTAGCGATGCCATGGAGTCAGGATGGACCTCAGGCGCCGACAGCGCTGCCTGGGGCCTGGGAGCACCCAGAGCGGCCTGTGAGGCTGAGCCGAGTGTGAGCGCTGGGCCTGGCTGAGCTGATCTGGGACTGGAAGCAGATGCTGGGGCCGGTGGTGCTGACCAGGGCCCAGAAGTGATCGCTGGGGCTGGCAGGGCTGTCTCAAGCCTAGAAGTGACCGCTGGGGCCAGGCACGCTGACCCAGGGGTGGCCGCCGGGGCTGGCAGGGCTGCCCCAGGGCTGGGAGGGGCCCCTGGGGCTGGCTGGACTGGCTGGGCTGTTGCTGCTGCTGGTGCTGGGCCGGGCCGTTCAGATGCCAGGGGCTGTCTGGGAGCGGCCCCCCTTCTGGGGAGCACACCTGCATGGAAGAAAGAGTATGTGTCCACCTGGGCAGGTGAGCCCATGGACCCCCCCCCATCCAGCCCAGGCCCAAGACATGCTTGCTACTCCCGCTCCAGAGCCCAATTCCCAAGGGAGCTCAGAGCAGAGCCTCAAGTACTGAGAAAAGATTCTCTCTCCAAAAAGTGGGCATAGGGCTAAGAGTCCCCAGGAAGAATGCAGCTGCAGCACTGAGTCATGACCCAGGACAGACCAACACTCAGGCAGCCCAGCCCAGCTTCCACCTGCTGTTGACAGTCCCTTCCTGGTCTCAGCCCTGACACATCTGGGCAGGAAGGCTCCCCGAAAGGAACACCCATTTTTTTTGGTTTCTCCTCATACCTAGACCTCCTTTGGCTGAATGTTTCCCTCCTTTAGTGAGAGCCTAATCCCCACATCCATTTACACACTAGATGTCTCTAGACACTGAGTCGGCGGAACCTGACGGACGCAGTGGGAAACGGGGCCGGCCTATCAGCTTGGCACTGTCACCCATCCTGGCCAGCACACGCCCCTGCACTCCTAGGGAAGCTGGCCAGGCAGGCCTCTCCAGCTGGGCAGGCAGGTCCCCGTACCTCTGTGACCAGCCTGGCTCCTACCTGTCTACCCCATATCCCAAACCCAGCAATGATGGGGTACACTGCCAGGCAGGCCTGATGCCAAAGGGTGGGGTCCAGGTGCTTATATGGCCCTGGCTGCAAACCAGCTGCAGAGTTCCCAAGTAAGGAAGGGCACAGGACACTCACCTGTTTTGAGGGCTGCAATGGGACCACCTTCCTGGTCCCTTCATCACAGGCAGGTTCCGTGTCCTGACCTGGACTGCCCACCTCGAAGGGCTGCCTATTTTCACTTGGCTCAGCGGATGGGCAGTTCTCTGACTCTCTGGGCTTCTTGACAAGACGTCGTTCCCATTTCTCCTTACGCTCATGTGGCTTCAGGGCCATATCTTTCTGTAGGGGGAGAAATGAATGTCTGTCAGAGCCTCTGACATAGGAAGGCCATGTCTGAAGAGAATAGACAATTGATAGACAATTGTAGGAGGCCCCAAGTTCCCAGGTATCCAGTCAATCAGCCTTGCATGAGCTTCACGTGTGACATATCTGGGGTCTGAAATCACAGCTTGGCTGGGGGCTAGGGATTTCAGCAATCTTCCCCAGGTGACACCTATAGGAAGGTCCCTTAGATGACATGCCATACATTCATAGGAGATGCTGCCCAGTGACACCCAGTTCCCCACAAGTGCTGCCCAGATAATACACTCTACTTCAAGCATTTGGGAGGCAAAGACAGGTGGATCTCAGTGAGTTCAAGGACAGCCTGGTCTACATAGTGAGTTCCAGGACAGCTGGGGCTACAGGGAGACCCTGTCTCAAAAAGACAAAAAACAACAACAAAAAAACCACTCCACTTCAGAGGAAGCACCACCCTCGGATGACATGGAGACCCCTGCCATGATTATCCTTCATGTTGTCAGACTCCATGGTCACCACAGCCACCCTGCCCTACCTGTGGATGTCTGTACTCCTATATTCTGGAGTCCCCTAACTTCTGCTATAACCAGTACTGATCACCAGTGGTGGCACAGGAGTGAGACAGACACTTGCATGCACTTTAGGCCCCTCCAAAGCAGTGGCCAATGAGGAGGTCTACAGAGGGATAAAAATCTCCCAAAATATAGAACAGTTGTGAGAGAACCCTGCAGGGAAGTGGTACCACAGAGCCACTCTGGTTTCATAAGACCTCATAGACAGGGCCACCATGCCTCCCCCTTCAGAGAACAGCAAGTGTAAAGGCACTGGGATAATGAGGAGCTAAGTTTTCTATCCTGCCTTTCTACCTAGGACAGGCCAGTGCTAAGCTTAAGGACCTTCGCAGTACACTAGCACTTTGCAGGTCCTGAGTCTATCATCCCTGTATGCAGAATGTCTAAACCCCAAATACTGGAGAGATGGTCAGTGGTCGAGAGCACTGCCTGCTCTTGCAGAGGACCCAGATTCAATCCCCAGCATCCACATGGCAGCTAACAACCATCCTCAACTCCAATTCCAGGGGAATCTGACACTCTCTTCTGACCTTCACAGGCACTGCATGACACAGATATATACATGCAGGCAACATACTCATACACACAAAATAAAAATAGATAAAACAAACAGGGGACTAGAGAGATGGCTCAGCAGTTAAGAGCACTGACTGCTCTTACAGAGGACCCAGGTTCGATTCCTAGCACCCACATGGCGGCTATGAACCATCCTTAACTCCAGTTCCAGGGGAATCCGATGCCCACTTCTGACCTCCACTGCAATGCACAACATGGGTGCACTCACATACATGCAGGCAATACACTCATACACGTACAAAAAAAAAGTAAATAAAATATTTTTTTTTTTTTTAAATTAAACCCCACAGCCGGGCGTGGTGGCGCACACCTTTAATCCCAGCACTTGGGAGGCAGAGGCAGGTGGATCTCTGTGAGTTCAAGGCCAGTCTGGTCTACATAGTGAGTTCCAGGATAGCTGGGGCTGCAGGGAGACCCTGTCTCAAAAAGACCAAAATAAATAAATAAATAAATAAATAAATAAACCCCAAATGCTCACAGCATTACAGTAACCTGCCCATAAGGTTAGGATCCTGGACTCTCTCAGGTTGCCCTGCAGCTAAGGGCTGAGATGTATAAAACTCACAGGAGCTCTCCCTGAATGGCAGATGCTGCAATTGAGAGCAGGGCTGCTTGTGGGGTGTGTGATCCAAAGTCTGAACAAACTGGGGTCACCTTTCACAGATGCTAAAAACTACAAAGACAGTCTGACCCAGGACTCCCACCTGGGGGTGGATCTGGACTTCCCAAAGAACAAAAAGGGAGGAGGGGAGCAGGGACTGAACATACAGGGATGCTAGCTGGGACACAGGTAGGCACAGATCCAGGCAAAGAATTTAATTTACTATGTTTCTTGTGCATCTACTTAGCACTTTGTTTTTTAAAAGATGAAGATGGTGTAGTGGCACACGCCTTTAATCCCAGCACTTGGGAGGCAGAGGCAGGTGCATCTCTGTGAGTTCCAGGCCAGCTGGGTCTACAGGGGAACCCTGTCTCAAAATGACCAAAAAAAAAGGATGAAAACTGCACCGACCCCTCTTCCCATTCTGCTGGTCCCCCTCTGGCTTCTCCCCTCACATTTAAGTGTTTTTTTCCTGGCCGCCCCATCCCTCAGTCTAGGGCAGGGCTGGTGAGCTGAACTGACCACCTTCTGGAGGATAGCAGCCAGCCCCTGCCCCTAGACAAGGGAGACCCTGTATGCACAGCTACCTGAGTGAATAAAGGACTCCCAAAGCCGTACTTGCAGGAATGCTCCCAGACCTGAGTTCTGAAACCCAACCTTTCACCTAGCACACTAGCAAAGTACCCAAAACTTAAGATAGCACTGTCTGGGTCTTTCCTGGGGATGATGGACATGCTATGCTGGCTGGCTAGCCATTCTGGGGCTTGAGCCTAGGCACAGCACTGCCCAGTGGAACCTGCCTCCAGGTAGTCCTGACTTTAGGCCACCCAAGGCAAGGAACCTCACTGGCCCACCTATTTACCCAACACAAGCATCTGGACTACCAAGAGAAGAGTACTCTTAGCAGTCCCACACTCACTCTAGATCCCCTACTATGTCAGCACTGGTGCTCAGAGAGGTTATGTAGCCACAAGCCAGAGTCTAGTGGGACCTGGGACCACAGCATCAGGTTAGGCGTAAGAACAGGGCTCTAGACTAGCTGTCTTCAGATGGGCCAGAGCAATTCCAGGGAAGGTGCTGGGCACTCACAAAAGGTGCCAGGACCCCATGGAAAGGTTCAAGAGGGCTCACATATTATGAACAGTAAAATTAGAGTTCCAAGTAAGAAGCAAATTCCACATTCACGACCTACCGCAGGCCCTGTATCAGACATTCTGCTAGGCACTCATCAGATCCACACATAGCCTGGGTACCCCAGTGCCAAATGAGGGTTCCAGAGGCTTGGAGAATCCTTCAAGAAGACAGTCTGGGCTCTGCATCCTTAAGCACCACTCAATCTAGCCCTGGGGACTAGAGGCTGCCAGCTCTTGCCAATGGCCAAAAACTGGAAGCTCCAGGTGGCATCCTGCCAGGACCTGTAGCTACAAGGTCGAGCACCCAGTATACTGCCTGTGATGCATGGAAAGATTAGCTGCCAGCACTCAGGCCCATACACAGGACCCTGCCCAAGTCAGGCCAAGCCTCAAACCTCTACTCCCCTCCTTGGAAAGTACACTGGATCTGAGTGCCTACTGCTAGCAAATGGCTGATTCAATTATCTTTTTTTTTTTTT